GCAAACGCAAAATGCAAAAGCAGAACGCGTAATGCACAGATCTGGAACGCTCTCGGCGGAAAGAAAATTAGAAAACGGTCGAAAGAAGAGAAAAAGAACGGTTACCTTGCGGAGAGGACTATCTTTAGGGAGAAAGCTTCCGATCGTTTTTCCGTAGACTTCGCAAGTGGAGAAATGGATAAGGCGCTTGTTGTTCTCCGAGCAGTATTTCACCTACAAAGAAAAAAAAAAGATAAACAAATCGAAAGATTGACGCGCACGAAGAGAATCAAGAGAAGAAGAGGCAGTACGACGGGGAGCGCGTCGATGAAGTTGCTGTAAATGGTGTCGAGAGGGCGCGTGTTGTAATCCGCGGGGGTGCAGATAGCAGCGAGATTTATAGTCTGAAACGGAAAAGGGAAAAAGGAAAAGGATAAGGAAAATCGGTTAGTGTGGGTGTGAAAGGAGGAGGAGAGAAGCGAGTATCGTTACGAGATCTGCCATCTTGATGAGGCCTTCGAGGCGAGAGTCGTGCTTGATGTTGAGGCGGTGGAAGGTAATGCGGCCGGCCCAGGGGAGGGAATCGGGCTCGAGGAGGTGCTTGATCTTGTCGCTGTAGACGTCGAGGGCGAGGACGGTGTGAGGGGTTTCCGACATGAGTTTTTCGCAGAGGTGCGACCCGATGAAGCCGCCGGCGCCGATCATGCAGATCGTCATGGGCTTGATGGGCTTTCCGTCCAGATCCACTCGCGCCATTGGGCTTTTTTTCGTGTGATGCGATGGCGAATTGGTGGTTTTGACGGGAGTGAGAGTGGGTGATATATAGAATAGGGAGGAGGAGGAGAAGACAACGACGACCAAGAGAAATGGAACGTAAGGCGGTGTATGATGCGAGGAGAAATGGAATTAATTAATTAATTCTCGATTTAATATTTTAAGGTGGGAATAAATGAATAAACAGAAATAAAATAAAATATCAACGTGCTTTTCTTTCTCTTTCTTTTCCCGACTTGCGTACGTTCATTCGTTCCGTAGCTCTCATCCCACGCGCGCTTTTGGGGTCTACTCACTACTCGCTCTGCATGCTTCCCTACATAATTCATAATATCATAAGCAATCTAGATAAATTTAGACTATGAATTATTTAACTTATATTTATTTTTATGATGGTTAAATTCTTTTGCTCTCATTTAATACATTTCTTTTAATGCTTCATTCGTGGAAGACCTAATCGTAGTCCAAGCTTGAAACATTTATGGTGTATTTGGATTAAAAATTTTATAAATTTAAGAAATTTTAAATTTTTGATATTTGAATTATTTTGATTTTAATTTCTGTCATTTTTAAAATATTTTATTTGGATAAGTCAATTCAAATTTATCAAATTTTAAATTATTAGGTTGGATATGATAATTTGATTCTACCATAGTAAAATTGATTTTAAAAATATATTTATATATTGAGAATTTTTAAATTAAGTTTTATAAAAATAAATATTAGCAAATTTTTAAATATTTAATAATTTTAAAAAATTAATATTATATAATATTTAATAATCTTAAAAATATTTTTTAATATTTAATAATTAAAAACATGAAGAGATAAGAAATAAAATAAAATATATAAGTGAAATAAGAAGAAAAAAAAATAGGAAGAATTTCAAATTCTCACTTTTTTGGGAGAATTTGAAATTTTACTATTTCAAGAAATTTTACAAATGCTTGAATTTCAAATTCCTTATAAATTTTCCATCCAAACAAGGTATTTCACCTCAAAGAATTTGAAATTCTTCAAATAAATGAATTACTCCATTTAAATTCTCCATCCAAACACACTATTAAAAAATATGTGATTTCTTTGTTATTCTAGGGTCTTTATTATATATTTATTTATTGTATTTTTATGTATTTTAGGAAACATGGAATCTGGCGAAAAAATTTTCTTATGATTGGATAATATATTTAGATATTCAAATTACAATCATTAATGATTATATTTGATGCGTAATATACAAACCTTGATTGATGAAATGCCAAAATATTTTTAGAAATATAGTGATTGAGTCAGTTATTTGGTGATCTGATGCATAAGTGGGTGGATAAGTAATATACTAGACCACATCTCGATATAATACAGACTGAGATGGTCCACTTGAACATCAAGACTAGAAGAAAAACTTGAGTCACTCTTATCCATTAAGCTCAACTTGGAGTTTGTTCCAGTATGTCCAAAAGTCTCACATTACATAAGAATCAAAGTTAAGGGTAATTTATAAAATACACTTCCTCTTTAATCTACCAAAATGTCTTTTTAAGAACAAAATCATAACGGTCAAACGAACACCAAAGTGGATAATATCTCAGACACAATAATTAACTTTAATGATGTCGATGAATTTACGGTTGAAACATTGGCCCTAAAATGAAGGTTCGAGTCATTTTTGCCCCTTAGCCTCGATTGGAGACTTGTTTCGATATACTTAAAAGTCCTACATCACATAAGAATTGAAGTCGATGATAATTTATAAACAAAATTGTGACCATCCAACAAGTGTTGAAGTGAACAATTAGTGATCACCTTGTTGATGTCACTAAACTTACTTTAAAACAATTTATAAGGTTTAAATATTAATGATTCTCTATGTATTTTTTTTTACTAAAATGTAAAATTATATTTAATCAATTATTTCAAAAAAGGATTTTGAAATAATCAATTATTCTTATAAATATTTGATTAAAGTTTTCTTAGTGAGTTTCTAGATTTGCAAAAAAAAACAAAATAATCGACTGAGTGAGCTTTATGCTAAGTTTTTTTTATAAAAGAGGTGTGATATCTTTTGTGGGAACTTCTATCATGAATCAAGAGAGTTGAATCATCATCATTGATCTACATGAAGAATTGAGACTGGATGATTTAGTCTTTACATTTGTTCAATTTATTTTGTACATCATGTAATATCCTTCATTTTTCTTTTTGTATTTCCTAAATAGGTTTCTTAGGGTAGAAAGGTTATTGAGTAGGTTTTTCAATATTGAAAGATTTATTGTAGTGGGGTTCAATAAGAATTACTTGGGATTCTATAAGGATTACTTCTTGGGATTCAAAAAGTGTGTTTTTTTAATTTTCTCTGAAGTGTAATACATGTGATTTGTGATTATAAACCTTATGGATATTAAAGACCAGTGAAAATACTCAGTTATGTTGACTGAGGACTAGATGTAGGTCATATTGGTGGTGACTAGATCAATATAAATCTTTGTGTAAACTTTTTTTTACCTTTACTTGAATTTTACTTGTTCAATCTGAATGCATGTTGATTAATCTGTATATTGTGTTAAAAACACAACACGTAGGGTACTTTGATTCAGATTTACATTGGTTGATTTTCAACATATTTATTCCACCATTGTTTCAATCAATTAGTTCACTTGAAAACTTTAAGAAAAGTTGAAAGTAGTTATTGTAAATCCAATTCACTTTCCTCTTGTATTAGTCATATTTTCTAACACACTCATATTGGATTTGACGTGATCAAGTCAGAGAGTTCCTAAAGCAATCATGTTCAATGTTTTTGTCTCACATATGACATCATCGAGTCACAAAACTCTTCACTGATCCATATTTGGTGTTACCAATCTTGCACTTGGCATCATTATGATAAAAAGCCTTTAACTTGAGTCATGTATGACACCACAAAAGCATGCTTGATACGATGAAGATTTTCGCACTTGACATAAATAATTAAAATACATATAACATATAATTAATCAATAAAACTAAAAATCACACATTGTTACACATGATGCATGTACTCGATAAAAACATATTTTGGTATTGTAGTCAAATAAAACTTATAATTGATTACACCAAAATCGTAATCGAATACAATCATCACCAATCAAATACAAGATATATAGAATCGAATAAGTCACTTGCATAATCAAATACATTTGTCGCTAATCAAATACAAAACATACAAAATCGTACACAATAGAGCATGTTCACGAGTAACACATCACTTTCTCTATTCAATTTCATGTATATTTCCTTGCAATTTTGAGAAAAAAAGTGAAAAATATGTGAATTCATAACTTCAAACTTCTCACATGACAAAACTCATGTGTACTCGACAATAATACTAATTTTTTGCTTCTTATTTCTTGACTCTCCTCTTTCCTTCAACATTATTTCATATCAATCAAACACAATGTAGTTATGAATCATGATAGACCACCAATCAAGATGTCACTATACACATATTTTGATAATAAAAAAAATCAATGTAACATGAGTGAGCACACATGAGGATATGGGCTCCAAAAGTATATTTTATGTTTGATTATAATTATAATTTTAAATTTTATTTATTCAAATCTTAACTTAATTTTAAAACGGCTCCAACTTAACCAATTCATTTTTGTACCGTCTCGCCTATTTCCGATACGATTCGTAGGAGTGGTTGCCTAAGCCCTTTCGCCTTTCAGGCTCAGGGCTGGAAGGCTAGTGTACCATCTAGGTAAAAATCCGACTAAGTGTACCGTCTAGGTAAAAACCCGACTAGGGGACCGTCTAGGTAAAAATCCGACTAAGTGTACCGTCTAGGTAAAAATCCGACTAGTGTACCGTCTAGGTAAAAATCCGACTGATCTCTACTCGGTCATAATCCGACCTGTCTGCTCTGCAGGGGTAACTCGGCCAAAATCCGGTCTAACTCTCCCACATAGATACTGTTCCGATATCAGGGATAAGATCCCATCTTTAATGACAAGATATTCTCCAAATATTAACGGTTAAGGAAATCTCTTGATCCTCGGGGCCCAAGTGGCCCATGAACGACATACCATAAAACCCAAAACCCTAGAGTTGAGAAGGCAGATTACACTTTTGAATGCTCTGGCTTCGCGGCTTGACCTAGAGGAAACCCTAGTTCGTCCCGTGGCCGGAACATTTTGGCGCCCACCGTGGGGCTACGGTGAAACTTTTCCTTACGCCCCAAGAAACACAAAAACCTACGCCCTATCATGGCGAGAGGCGGCAACAACAACAATTCACAACCCCCTACCATGGAAGAGATGATGGCCATGATCAATGGCCTACGAGAGGAGAATGCGCGTTCCAGGGAGAGAGAAGAAGCTATTCAACGCGAGAATGAGGAGATTAGGAGGAGGGCGGATGAGATGCAGGCCAGAATAGCGGCTAGTACCAGGACTGTGGAGGAGGATGTTATGCTGGAGGTCCCTAGAGACTTTCGACCATTTTCGGAAGCCATAGAGGCTGAGATCATCCCCAGGGATCATCGGATTCCTCAGGTCGAAGCTTTTGATGGAACGCAGGATCCCAGCCAGCACTTGACAGATTTCCGGGCTCAAATGCTGATATGTGGTGGAGGCATGGAGGTCCGCTGTAAGCTATTCATGGGCACCCTCAAAAAGGCTGCACTTGATTGGTTTAGCGGCTTACCTGATCGGTCAATCACTGATTTCGACGTGTTCAGCAGGCTGTTCATGGCACAGTTCGCCGCCAATAAAAAGAAGCCGCCGATCACGTCAGACCTGTTTGATCTCAAGCAGCAGCAGGAAGAGTCGTTGAAGGACTTCCTGCAAAGATTCAACGAGGTTGCTTTGAGGATAGCGTCTCTAGATGAGAAGATGGCCGTTATCGCGTTCCAAAAGGGATTGAGGTCGGGAGCCTTCGACATTGCGCTGGAAAGAGCAAGTTGTCAGACAATGTCGGAAGTGCGAGCCTTTGCGCTGAGTCACATTAAGACGGAGGAGGGGCAGATCAGTAAGAGAGCAGCAGAAAACCGATTACCATCTTCAAATTTTTAATTTAGCGATTTTTTAAAGCAATTTTGAAAGAATTGGGTCGACAAAAACAAAAACAAATAATTTTAACCCTTATAAAACTACTAAAAAAATGAATTCTTCCTTTCACGTTCATGTCACGGCGAACTCATTTTGATATCTTATTTTTTTTACATATTTATTTTTAATTTCTCACATTTTCTTCGTGTCAAAATTTATATATTATCCTAAGATAAATAGATAAAAAAAATAACAAATTTTAATAATAAGAAGAAGAACGCGTTAAACGAGCTGATTAAACAAGAGTTGCTGGTCTTTAGTTGCAATGGAAAAACGTCAACGTCAATCACCTTCACAAATCATAATTCAAATCTTGGATAACACGTGAATGTTAAGGAGCCAGTGGTGTGGCGTTGAGTTGGCTCACTTTCATTCTCACGTGCATCATACTTTACAAAAATAATAATAATAAATAAATAAATAATTATAATCATGAAGATTTCATTATATAATGTTTTTTTTTTGTTCGTCCCCGGAGTATCTACGTCGGAGACACCTCAAAGAGTGGAATAGCTGGCCCCAAGATTTAACGCGGCTGCATCTGCATACACAAGGCAGGATTCGAACCTCTGACCTTGTTTAAGCGTGGATCAACCCCTACCGCTGAACCACACGCTTGGGGTTCATTATATAATGTTTAATTATACTTTCCATTCTTATAATTTTATTAATTTATATTTTAAATTCTATAATTTTAAATATATTTTTCAATATATATATATATATATATATATATTCTATTAGTCTCTATTATTACTTAATTTTATCTTTTAATTTCATAAATATTTATAAACGTTCTATAATTTTATTAAAAATATTTTTTAAAAAAGTTTATAAGTCACTATAACCTTACCTTGTATCATATTGTTTTGTGTTAGTCTAGATTTTTATTTAAAATAAAAATACCAATGATAACAAATAAACAATAGCACCAGAAGTCAACAAGACACAAAACAGCTACAGGGATATTATCGTCACTTCGCAACTTTGCACCGACACAGTGAATGGTTGCACCTTGCACGCGAAACACAAATGTTATTTTTTTCTTCAATTATTACAATATTTTAATCTAAAGGTCAAATTATATCTTTCATCTAAAATCAGTTGATAAAGATGGAAATTAATAAGTGGCTTAATCATTGAGCATCAAATCTTGCAGGAAGATTTGATAACCTTTATTATATCATTCCTAATGTTTTGTTTACAAATAATATTGTCATAGTAAATTTATAGTTTTTAATAATTATTTTAAGAATTATACCTGAAACTATTTTTAATTAATTGAAATTATATTAAAATTAAATAATGTTTAGGAAGAGCAACACACCTACCCACAATGTTTCCTAACTCGTAAATGAGAAGAGAAACCAAGCGGGATCATGTGATGAAACTATTTAACAAGGGATAGAATGTTTTATCACAATATGATATCCAAGTCTTTTACAATGTTTGTTTAATTATATTATATATATATATATATATATATATAATTTTTATTCTTTTTTAGTTTTTACTGTCTATTATTAAATGAACTAAAAAATACTTGAAGTTTTCTTATAAAAAATTACAATAATTTTAATAGAATTTGAATATAAAATTTTGAATAAATTTAGGAATGATAAAATGGAGTACGATCTATAGACTCATAAAAAAAATAACAGATTAGGTTGGACATCTTGACCAATTAACTTAATTCATTACATTTAATCTGTTCGTTCGTTGGGCCAAATAGTCGACCAGGACATGTTGACCTGTTAACCCACCTAATTTTTTATTTATTTATTATTATTATTATTATTATTATTATTATTATTATTATCTTATTTTAATGTTAAGTTTAAATAATTTATATGAAATTTATAATGTAAATAATTTATAATTTATTGTGTAACAAATATGTTATACGTTTGATTTATTTTATTATATGTATTTTGAGATATTTTGTACAACAAATTTGTTGAAAAAAGTTATTATTATTATTATTATTATTACATATTTATTTTATTATTTAACAAAATTGAGATTTATTGTGTAACAAATCAAATCAAATCTATTATAATTTGAGATTTATTTTATTATTTATGTATATTAATTTATGTGAATCTTTTAAATATTGAAATAGAAATATGTTAAAAGAGATATTCAAAATATTATTTAGTTTTTTATTTTTATTATTTTATATTGTTATTTTTTTATAGGTCAATTCACTAACTCACTAATTCACCTTTAAACAAGGTGGATAAAAATGTCTAACCCATTTTAATTAAATAAATCAACTCAATTTGACCTGATTTTAATTAGCCAATGATAAAACAGACTTAAAGGAATTAGGTTGAATTGTTTTATTATCTTTAAACATTCTGCTTCAATCTAGATTAACAACACTCACTAGTAATTTTTTTTCTTCTTTTATTCACTTGAGAGAGGACTTTTTCCAATTCAACAATAATCTTTCCTTTTTCTGGTCTGTTGGTCGACTATATGACAATTTTTGTTTAGGTAACTTTGTATTTTGTAATGGGTTGAACTATTCTTGTACTTCCCTTAATTTATTTTGGTTATAAAAAAAAAAACTATATGACAATTTTTGTATGGATATGTATTTATATTGGACCATGAATTTTTATTAAAAGGGCTCTTTTGGACGCATCTAATGGGCTTGACGGAAATTCGGATCAACACACAGTCGTCTTGGATGCTATAAACACGATTTTTCCACACGATTTTGTGTTGTTTTTTCCCAAACATTTTTTTAATAAACAACTTAATTTGTTTTTATAACTTTACCACCATTAAACCCAAAAAATTTATCATACTTGACCTTTAGAAAAATTCAATTTTGGACATTTAAGATGAAATACTATCCCATCATTATTATTATTATTATTAATCCATGTTTACTATTTCATAATTTTTTAAAAAAATTGAATTACCATGAGAAATGAAAATGAAAATTTTATTATTTAATTATATTAGAATGATTAAAATTAAATAACAAAGACATGTGATTTTTTAAGTGATCAAATTAACTTTAAATTTTGATTATTCATGTACTATTAAATAACATGCGTGTATCTGTGTGTGAGAGTATGAGATAACATTTTAACAGTGAAAAGTTTAGCACAAATAAAAATGTTAAAAATAAATAGTTTCTAGTATTTTGGACCAAGTATTTTTACTTTAAAAATATTTAAATATGGTGCAGAGATAAAAAAAAAATAGAAATAGAAAAATTATTAACCGACTTTAATATTTTCATTGACAAAATATAATTCATATGAATAATTACTTTATTTGTATTTATAATTTATTTAGAGTCATATATAAATTTTGGCAGAAAATAAATAAATTATATATAATAATTACACAATATCTTAATGGAAGAATTATTAAGGTTGAAATAAATGCATGAAGATTTAGATATGATTTTATTGTTATTATTGTAATTTTTTTAAATGAAAAAATTTAATCATACGATCATAATCACATTTGGCCGGATATAACCCTCGTAGCACAAAAACATCACATTACTTATTTGAGTTTTTTTTTTCTTCTAATATTAATTATAGACTTTAAAATAATAAAGTTATCTTATTTAACTTTGTTTTAATTATATATATTGATCATAATTATCTATTTAATTCAAATTAAAAATTATTATTCACGTCAAACTCAACTATAGCCGAATCCAATCTTATTAAGGTTAGCACAAAGGTTATTTTTATTTTTATTTATTTATAGTACACATGAGCTAATTAAGCCTTAACAGTAATAATATAATGTCTTTGCTTATTATTGTAACGGCGTGTTAATATATAGGGTGATGAAATCTTGGCTTGAAGAGGTTCATTTCAAGAAAACCCTCCACTGCAAAATTTATTTTCATGTCTATTTGAACCTGATACAAACCGAAAATCTATTTTAATTTCACTGAATTGCGAATCATTATTTTAATAATAATTAAATTAATTATATATAAAATTATCGATAATTTATATTATAATTAATTTGTTTATTAATAAAAATTATTACTTGTATTATAACTATTTTAATAATACTAAAATGATATTCGTTTTCAAGATTCAATGTAAATATATTTTTATTTTGTATAACATCAATAGATACATAAAAAAAACAAATTCAAAAACTTATTTCTAGTTTGTAGTATTATATCTCCTCACCTTTTATAAACATATATATATACCCGTCTTCTTCTGTTTTATACAAAATTATATAAATATATTTTCACGGAAGGGTATTTTGAAATTTTTTTTTTATAAACAATGATAAAAATAGTGTGAATTTATTAAAGAAAATAAATAAAATGAGATGAGATTATGGTCCCAACACCAAATTCGATTTAGAGTCTCTTTTGTCCACTTGTCCATTTGTTCAATGCGTGTTTCTCTGCCCTTCACAGCTTCACCCTCCTATGGCACTGTATAATACAATGTTTTGGAAATAGGATTGGTTTAAGGAGAAAAAAGACAAAATACTGCTTCATGAAATCGATTATTATATATATGTAATATTTTTATTTACATAATAAACTGATATGGTTAAAAATAATAATAATGAACTGATATAAATATGATATTACAAGTAAACATTTTATTTAATCTTAAAATATTCCTAATAAAATAAAAAATGAATTTAATGACTATTTACTAATAATTTATAATATTGTTATCTTGTCAATTAATTGCAATTCATTATTAATATTTTTTTTATTTATTAAAAAATAACTTATGATTTATATTAAATTTTAACGATCAAATATTTGAATTTAAAGTTCTTAATATATAAATTAAATTTATAAATTTTTAAAAAAATTGAAAATCATTTGATACTTCATTTCATTAATTCAAATCAATGTATGAAATGATTTTATGATTATCCGTCAATTTGAATTAATGAAATAAAATATTAAATGATTTTCAAAATTTTTAAAAGTTTATAGAATTGATTCATATATTAAGAACTTTAAATTAAACGATTGAATCGTTAAAATTTAATGTAAAATATGAATTATTGAACAGAATAAATTTATATAGATTTATTCTCGAAATAAACAAATTCTTTATATATATATATATATATATATTTTTTTTTTTTTATTTGTGACCGAATAAGTGTAAAAATTACTTTTTTTTCTTAAAGCATACAATACGCCTCAAATTCGATTTTTATAACTAAATTTCTGGGTTTGACCAATGGTATAAGTCAACATAATTTGTACATTTTTCAACCTAATATTTCCGAAGCAAATTCCTATTTTTTGCAGCCAAAACTCTCTTGCAATACATGAAATTTAAACAAATTGAGGTAGTGCATACATATAAACAAATATGAACTCTTTTTGTCTGCACTTTGCTGTTACATCCATGGTCTTGGTGTGTCGTTAGATCAGATGTACCTTTATTTTTTCCTCATTGTGCTATTTTCTATTCATGTGTGTGTTTTTCGTAGTGTGTGCATGTTTTCTCTTCCCATGATTAGAAACTCACACAACAACACGTGCCTTCAACTTTTTCAATTCTTGTTTCTCTCAGGACTTGCCATTCTTTACCACAAGACAAACCCTTTTGTGTTTCTCTGCTGTCTTCCATTCCAAAAAAGGGTCAAAGAAACTAAGAAAAAGGAGTATCCACGTGAAAGCAATAGAAACGCTTGGAACTCACTAGCACCACAAAAAAAGTCTGTGAAGTGGCACCCGATGCACTTCTGCATGTAGATTTCAAGACAAGTGTCTTAGTGAAAACTCCAAACCAAGCCCATTTTTTGACTCATCTTCCATTCCCAACATGGTATGAAAAGAATGTCCTTTTATCATGACACATTTTTATTTTTATTGACATGGTTAACTTGACAATTAAGGATTAAATATGTGCTCGTTCAGATGGTCAAGTATTATTTAAATACCGGCTGTAATCGAACTATCTTTGACACTCATGCCTCAATTAATGTGTATGGGTGAATATTGATAGTGAAGAGTGAAAACTGAAAACCTTATCAAGAGAGTTATTGGACGAGAATGGTTTCAATTTGGAGGTTGAAGAAGTTGTGCTTTGTGGAGCCTGTGAAGTCCCCCTCCTTTGGTTTTGAATCCATTGAAGTGGAAAGAAAGGTGCAAAAGAGGCAGTGTAAGGAGTGGAGGTGCATTGATTATTGGTGTTGGGTGATAGGGTACATGTGCACCACTTGGTGGTTTCTCTCTTTGTTGTATGGTTCCTTGCCAGCCACATTGCTTGGCTTTGAGGCACCACTGTCACCTGGGGTGAGGTTAAGCCGTGAGGGAGTTACTGCACTTCACCCAGTTGTTCTTGTACCTGGCATTGTGACTGGTGGGTTGGAGCTTTGGGAAGGAAGGTCTTGTGCTGAAGGCCTTTTCAGAAGACGGTTGTGGGGTGATGGTTTTGCTCAAATCATCAAAAGGTGTGTTTAAAATGAAGTTCATTGTTCATAATCTTAACTCAGTAATAGCCTGTCTGAATACAGTTCAGAAGGGTTTCAGAACTTCTATGCTGAAAATAGTAGAGAAACTCTTAAAAATCTTTCTAAACATGTATTCAACAGATTCTAAGTGAATTTATTAATTATGTTGACCTTTTGAAACTTGGTAAGGCCAAGCTGGAATTTTAGTTGTGAATAGTGAATTCAATTACTCAATAATACATGTTAGTATAAGCACTTTCTATTTTGTGCTGGTGTTTAGGCCCTTGTGTTGGTTAGAGCATCTCTCTTTGCATGATGAAACTGGGATGGACCCGCCAGGCATTAGAGTCAGGGCAGTGCCTGGGTTTGTTGCTGCTGAAAATTTTGCTTCTGGTTATCTTGTTTGGTCTGATTTGGTAGAAAATTTGGCAAAAATTGGTTATGAAGGGAAGAACTTGTACATGGCTGCCTATGACTGGAGACTTTCCTTCCAGAATACTGAGGTATAATGATTAATTGAACTTTTTTTATTCAACACCTTATGGTATAATGTTGGTTGATTTCAACTTCAAAATGTCATTGTTCAGTTCTTGTTGCTCTAATGATCCTTATATGAGAATAAGATGTTTTGTTCATTTACTATTAGCAAAACTATAGATGAAATGAATGATGAATTGCAATAACAGGATGTGGTATGGAACTGCATGACAGGTTTTCATATTCCTGTGACTTTTCCCTTGTTTCCTGAAAAGAATCTCCTCATAATCTCACCCCTTTTCTTTTTGGAACCTTTTCCCCCTCCAAGCCTTTCCTTTTGGTTTCTATAGCCAAAATTTAAGTAGAAATTATGCATGTTGGCATCTTTGTAGAAACAAGTTTCAGCTAATTTAATTTTAATTTGATAAAGCAGATTCGGGACCAAGCTCTTAGTAGATTGAAGAGTAGTATTGAGCTTATGTTTGTCACAAATGGCTATAAGAAAGTGGTAGTGGTACCACAATCTATGGGGGCTATTTATTTCCTCCATTTTCTAAAATGGGTTGAGACACCTCCTCCCATGGGAGGTGGTGGTGGTCAGGGTTGGTGTGACAGGTACATCAAAGCAATCATGAATATTAGCCCTGCATTTCTTGGTGTTCCTAAGGCAGTTAGCAATATATTTTCAACTGAAGGCAGTTTTGCATTTGTCAGGTCAGTATTTTCAACAAAATCCTTTATTTCAATCTGGCATCTTAGTGGATTGAATGCTGTCTCTAAAATCAACGGGAATCTAAAATACAGATTTTAGCAAAATGAAAGCAAATGCAGGATACTGAATAAGATGCAACTGATTATCATGAAGAGAAAAGGTTGGACCCCACAAAATCTTTACAAGTATTATGAATAGTAAAATGAAAAAGATTGGAACATTGCTTATGTACATGCATGTGCTTCAAGTTTTAACTTACCAAAATGTAATTTTTTTGTAATAAATTTGTGGAGTGATATTATGCTATTCAAGCAATTACATCTATTTATATGTTCCCATAAATCAAAGGTAAAAGAGAGGACTATTTGAATCTGAAAATTTAGGATTGTCTCATAAACAATTGAAAACTAGGGCTGTATCTATGGGATGTCAAAATTGGTTACCCAAATAAATGGTTAATTTCATAATTTGTGATCTGTACCATATATATTATCTGTACCATAACCATATCCATAAACAATTATTGACTCAATTTTTGCAGAGCTGTGGCTTCTGGCATTTTAAATTTGGATTACCTTGGTCGTCAAACACTTGAGCATGTAATGCGGGTGTTTAGAACTTGGGATTCAATCATCTCATTGCTTCCAAAAGGTGGTGAAACCATCTGGGGTGACTTGGATTGGTGTCCTGAAGAATGGAATAACTGTGATCAGGTACAGAAGGGATGGATATGTGAAGCACTTTGCAAGTGACAATACTTTTAAAAGCAGTGATAAGCAGAAAGACTCCATGTAAATAAACCTATGAATTCTGCAGGTTTAATCTCTTTTGGTGAGGCAGGCTCACAGTTACCTGCTTCACTTCTCATTACCCTTGATTCAGAGATACCATAGTTACACACATTACTTTTTCTTAATATGATGTCACTCACTATTTTTCAGAAGAAAAAAAGAATTTTCTCAATTTTCCACTGTCTAGTATCTCTGATATGGAAGAACAGAAGTAATGACTCTTAAATTCCATGCTCTATGTATACCCTTCTACCATTAGAAGAGGCCTGTTTTAATTTCCCAATGCAAAGTTCATTTATTCTTGAGCACCCAAGACTAAATATATATTATTTGTTTTATAAATGTATAAAACTGTACATATTCAATAAGGCATCCTATTATCGATTGAATCATATCATGGTAATTATTTCAGTTTCCATTTGGATTTGCCACTTTTTTTGTTCTGATTCGTGTAATTATATATATTTTAGAACAACAATTATTCATGTCTTATCATCAG